AGGAATTATCCACCAAACGCCGCCATTTTTAATTTCATTCACGCGAGAGAATGCGTTTGTTTTTAGAGCAAAGTAGCCGATTTCATCCACAACTGGACTCCGAACTGGGAGTTCTAGATATATCTGGTAATCGATCATCATTTTTGGTACCTGGGCATGTTATTTCATTAAAAAAGTTATATTTTTCAAAGTCCTGGACTTTGTCTATGGAGGTACGCAGGGCTGTGGTGGGGACATCTATCAACCAAACGCGTCCACGTACACACCTCAGTACAGCCCACAGGCGCTCGGAACGTTTCTTGGCTAATAAAAAAATGACCTAAAATGAGATCGGCATAGTTAGTCAGTCGCCTGTACATCCCCCTACTACTCATATAATAACACAAGGTAGGAAAGCATTGACACCATGACATCGAAACTTCCCGAAAATAACACGATTTTCCAAATTATATTTCGATCCGCTTCACACAACTCGGTAGAAACTATCGATCGACATACATTACCTTTATTCGAACTTAAAAACAGGTTAAATCCTGTGAAAATCGAAACACCAGAGCAATATGAATAAACCCATCAACACGGATATCTTGAAGCAGAGGCGTATATATTCGGAACTGTTTCTGATAAAAAAAATGTTTCAATGCCAGTGTACAGGTATGACCTTTTTTCATTATTTCACAAAGTTCTGTTAAATTAAATTCAGCATCAGAATATTTTTTTATCATAAATAGTCCTTAAAATCTATTTAAAAAAAAAACAGCATGTAGTCGCATGATCAATAGCATTCAATCTTTGCCTGAAGGTATTTATTTTGTTTTCCACCAACTTTTACAGTTCAGGGTAGTGAAATACAAACTGTATACTGTAAAATACTTTAATTTCACTTTTAATTAATTTTCTCTATTTTAGGAATGATCCAGTAAATAAAATCCAGCTAATATATCGTAATAACTTAATTTGCGGTTTCTATTAATTCGCGCATCTATTTTATTTTCGAACACTAATTTTTAAATGTTCAAAAACATGTTTAAAATTGTATCCTATTAATTCGCAGGCCAGAATAAACAGGATAACAGGATAGCATGAATACATTAAAAATATACATTTTGTTTGAGTTTTTATGTTATCAGTACTTGGTGTAGCTGCAATCGGTTAGCAAGCAGTTTAGGTTTAGTCAAGATTTGACCTGAAAAAAATTATTCCCCAATGACACTACAGATGTTGAGCAAGATTATTACTTAGTCGATAAATATCCATCGGTCAGCACATCGATTACAAATTTCTGTGATGGAAAGCTTTGTACAGGGCTTTTCGTCGCTGGTCCACAGGGTTGCATGGCATGTGTCCGCCATTTTGGAAAGTGATTTTATTCTATGGTGCGTAAATTGACTGATTGGTCGGGCGATTGACAGAGTTAAGCGCTCATGTACATTCTATAAATCTTGCACATGTGACATAATCTTGTACTGACGTGTTTTTTGTTCAAAAAAGACGTTCCCTTTCATTTAACCCCCAGTTAACTATTCGCGTTCATGG